GCTGTCGCATCTGATCCATCCAAGATATATTGGAGTGTTCCAGAAAACCTCTAACTCGACCTTGACATTGAGCAATTCTCTTTAATGAATGTTATTGTCACACCCAGAGAAAGTAAAATACCTTCACTACGCTTTCTGCTCATGTTCCAGAGCAAACGGAGCAAGGGAAGGGGGAATAAATTACAGCAAACACTTCCCTGGAAGGAGGAATGAGGCTCCCTAAGGCTTCCACTGATAGCAGAGGATTCCCAGGAGCAGCAGTTTTCCCTTTCTTAGGGATTATGTACAACAAGAGAGGACAAAATTAGTCTGTGACTATGATTCTGCTCTTCTGGACCCAGAACACAGCTCAGGCTGCTGCCAAGGCTCCCAAGGACCAGGACATGATGACATTCTGTTGTGCTCCTTTCCTGGAGGAACAGAAGTGCCATGCAGCCCCTACTCCAGCACCAGCACCATCAAGGGATAAAGGCACCAGGGGCTGGAGAGCACCAACAGGCAGGAATTCCCTGGCAGGCACGTGTAACCAAGCCAGGAAAGACACAACAGCATCAGCTGCCAGTAATTCCAACAGCATTTACATTGATTTATAGATATTGGAATACTTTGGGCTCCCCCTGCAAAGCTTAAGCACTGCAACTCCTGGGCAATCAGCTCAGAAAGTGATTCCAGGTGGAAAAAACTGGGATGAAAGGGCTCTGAGCAATACTGAGCAGCATTTTCAGCTCATTCCTGGGCTGTTTTGAGAGAAGGGGAATGGGAATCAAGAAGAAAAGCTCAGCAGCTTTTCCTGTGGTGACTCAGGAGCACAGAGATCACCCACAGCATGATGGCTGTGTGCCAGCCATGGAAAACCATCCATCTGGAATATCATGAGGTACAGAGATGAGCTGCTGCAGCTTTCTTCCCTGTGCTAGCAAAGCCTCTATTAGCCTAATCCATTTTCCTTTAGTATAGGAGAATCATTACTGCATGAAAAAAATGTTTATCTGCAGTCAATTCTCTTTCTATTTCCAGAGCTGAATCAAATCAGGGGGAAAAAGACAAGGATTAGGATGGAAACTCCACCTACTGCATAAACAAAGCTGATGGAAAATGATGTGAAAAAAATCCCCATCTTTGACTTCAGTAATACATTTAAATTCCTAGAAATGCAAAAGTTCACAGACAGGACAAATGGTCAGAGTCATTTCCATGAAACAGCTCCAGCAGCTGTCAAATATCACTTAGAACTTGTTTGGAGAAAGGAATTACCTTCTCAAAGGATTTGGGCCAGTCATCACTGTGTATGTTCCTCAGATTTCCTCTGTCCTCAATCTTGTAGTGTCTGATTTTCTGGTCTTCTAGCCAGACTATAAAGTTCCTAAACTCGGTTTCATCTGTCAGGAGAAGGAAACAAAGCAACAATTAACCAATCTCTTCATGGCAAAAAAACACAAGACCTGAAGTTTTGACCCAATTCATATAAATCATGATGGCCCTGAGTGCTTTTACCATAAAAAAAAACAATATGTATCTACCTAACACTAAAATTGTGCATTGCCTGACCAAAAATCAACACTGTTTTTAATCTTTCAAATCACTTCAAACTGTCTGGAATGGAGTGATTCCACTAAAAGGCATCAACCAACAGGTTGTTCTTATTGGGAATATAATTATAACTTATCAAGCAAAGAAAGAAAGGTGAAATAATGATAGAGAAATTCAGTTTCTAATTCTGACAAACACATGTAGCAAAACCCTCAGTTTCTCCAAAAAAACCTACACTGGTATCATGGCTGCAAAGACATTTTATTCCCTCCTTGTTGCCTCAAATCTTCTTGCATGTTGACTCAAAATCCCATTATTTGGGAGCTGGAATTCCATAATTGCAAGATACACACACAGATGTTCAGCTCACAGCTCTGAGGTATCAAAACCCACCTGTGGTGTTTTGGCTTTGGATGAGTTTTAATCAGGGAATCCCAGACTGGTTTGGGTTGGAAGCATCCCTCAGGGATCTAATTCCACCCCCTGCCATGGGCA